AAGCATGCCTTTCAAAAATATTTCTGGGGCTTGTCTGAAGATTTTTACACAAAAGCGTAGCTACAATATGTACAAACCTTCTTAATAATAATAATAATAAAAAAACCTTTGTATCCTTATATGAAAGTCAGTAGCATATTTTGTCACACAGGCATTTTGATGGATGTACCTTGAAACTTTTGCATCCCTGGAGCAGTACTGAAGTTCTCTTTCTAGTGGTTTGCCTTTGAGGGGTGTGGATAACACTAACTGGGTCTTGGGAAATCAGAAAGCAGTGGCTCAGACCTGTGCTAAATAACACGGATTGCTTCAGTAACTGACTGCAGTATCTTTTAGTCTGTGTAATGAAAACATTAATTGTTTCATACTGATTTGCAATTGCTGTGGCTGATAAACAGGCTTAAATTAAAAAGCAAGAATAGGCTATTAAAAGTTGCTTAGTTCTGACCACCATTCATATTGAGATTGAATTAAGTTCCTTTTCTTACAGTTGTGGTGGTGAAAAAGGGAGTACAGTATTATTCTTTGGAATGTTGCTGTTGAAACAAAAGCCTATTAAATATTTTGCCCAACCACTGTAGCAATAAAATATATACCTCAAGGATCATCTTGAGGGAGGTGATCCTGCCTCTCCAATCAACCTTGGTGAGGCCATACCTGGAGTGCCGTATCCAGTTCTGGGATCCTGGAGCATCTCTCCTATGGGGAAAGGCTGAGAGAGGCTCCAGGGCCTGTTCAGCCTGGGGAAGACAAGGCTGAGAGGGAATCTTGGTCAATGTGTAAGTATCTGAAGGGAGAGTGTCGAGAGGATGAGGCCAGGCTCTTCTCGGTGGTGCCCAGTGATAGGACAGGAAGAAATTGGCACAGATGGAAGCACGTGAACTTCCCTCTGAACATGAGGAAAAACTTTACTGTGAAGGTCACTGAGTACTAGAACAGGTGGTCTGGAGAGGTTACGGAGTTTCCTTTCTTGGACATGTTCAGAAGCCATCTGGCCACAATCCTTAGAAACATATTCTAGGTGACTGTTTGGATAGGCTGGTTGAACTGCATGATCTCCAGAGGTTCCTTCTAATGTAGTAATTAATCATTTAGAGAAATGAACACAGAGTTTGAGCTATTTCTTTATTAAAAAAAAAAAAAACACTGAATCCTTGGTCTGTGCTGGTGGATTCTTTAATTCAACTATATCTTTTTCCACTAAATATTTTTCCTTACACGTGTGTTTCCTCTTAATTTCCTTACTGCTTTTCTCTTTCTTTCTTTGTCAACTTATATCGTATACAGAATGAAGTCTGAAACTTGCAGTTAGGCTACTGTAGCCCTAACATGCCAATTTCCATCCTCATATTGTTTGTTCTTTTGTTGCTCATATGTCGTATTCTGCTCTGTCTATTTTATGGAAGAGTTGTGTGACAGTTGTTTAATAAATGCTGTAATGTTTTCCATTAATGACTGGTCCATATATGCCACAGAAATAGCTGTGATTGACAGTAAAAGAATTCTAACCATCAACTATGCATCAGGGAAACAGTTTTTCTTATGTTGTCCCTCAGACAAGAGGATGCAATAACCTTTGCTTATTGAGCTGACAAGTAAGAGTGGAGCTCACAAAACCAGGTCCAGATTTGAGGCTGAAGTGCGCGTGTGTGTGTTTTTGCTTACAGTAAGCTAAGGTGTGGGTATATATGCACACGGTAGCATACATATAACAACTATGCCAGTGTCAGTTTTTCTCAGATACTCATCTGAAGATGTAACTCAGATATGAAACAATCTTTGCAACAAAAATAATTTGCAAAGGAATGGACTCAAGAGTGTTCTAGCTTTTGTGAGTGTTTTTTCATTCAATTAGGATGGTGTGTAAGATGCATTATACAACTGTCAAGAACCGGTATTGGTTTATGAGCACATGAAACTTTAATCTTAATATGAAAATTGGAGGGAGCAATACATGGACAATAGTTTACACACTGTGGAGGAGTGAAAGTTGAATCATTGTGTCAATGGGAGAGCTAGGTCCTTCCATATTTGAGTTCATGCTTCTTAGCTCGTTTTTCTTCTCTAATGTAATTAAAGCTGTAGATAGTGACCTATGAAAAGGTTTGGGTTTTTTTGTTGTCCTTTTTTTAAATGAGATGGGAATAAGTAAAGAGATGTTTCCACTGCTAATGTATGCATAGTCTGTGGTATTTGTTGGCATTCGAATTGACTCCCTACTTGTCATAGCAAAACCTGAGATGTATTTATTACTTTTATTATGCTTTTGTAATACTCTCAGCTTTTTTAAGATAGGTGGCAATGAAATGACTAAAACTTTTTTCTTTTTTTCCCTAGAATAGTACCATTTAAAATAACTCTTG